AAGCACTTAAGTGCGCATCATGCGCATGCATGATTGCACGCAGGCATGGCATGATGCTGCGGCTGCCCATCTCTAGGCCTCACCTTTGAAGATTAACAAAAATCTACTTTACAAACTTTACATATTTGTTAAAATTAGTTTACTTAATAAAATTTTTCATAAAATTAAATATAAAAAATTTGCCATTAAGTTTATATAGTACTCTCTAGGGGAAGGGGCTTGTTTATATATAAAATTTGATGCTAAAAACTTTTGCTTAGATATTACGAAATATACTTACAATGTTAATATTTTATGGATTATTTTATCCTAGAAGGAAAAAAAAGGCAAGGTTAAAAAAAAATTAACAAGCAAACTTGCCTGTTAAATGGTTTAAGGGATAGTTTGCTAAGCCAATTCTGTTAATTTTTCTAGCACATTCAAAAAAAGAAAAAAAAAAGGCACCCAAATGAGTTTTATATAATAATTAATATTTGAATATGTCGAGGTTTTAAAATGCTGCTTAATAAACTTTATTATCACTAACCCAGCAAAAAATTTCTTGATAATCATTATGATATGGTAAAGAATATAGTAAGTCCGTTTCGTGCGAATTAACATTTATTGTTGACAATGCTTTATATTGAATGAAAAAAAACAAAAATAGTTATATTCTAAAAATGTCATCTTTTAATATTTCGCGATTCACTTCTTTGGGTTCGCGCCCAAAATATACATTTAAAAAAGCTACTAGTGGTAAGGCAAATTTTCTAGATGAGAATGAAGTAAATGAAGAAAATAGCGCGAGAGTAGTCGAGGATAAGGTGAAAAAAGGTAAGGTGAATAAATATGATTATATATGTTTCATTTTGAATACAAAATATTCTAGAAAAAGATATGATATAAAGTTATTTCGTTAATGTAATTATTCAAATAGATTCGTTCAATGACATAGCCAACACGATTCTGAGTTCAGAAAAGAAACAAGAAGGTTCGACTTTTATTTTAGGGCAAATTATTTCTCAAAATGAATTGGCACTAGCACAATCAAATACCAAATATGATATTTTCGATGAGTTTTTAGAGCTTGGTATAAGTAAATCCACCAATAAGGCAAATAATGAGAAAAGGCGTGGTGTCGGTGTAGACGTAAATGATACGACTACCAAAAATAACAAAAACGACAAGAAACGGGGAATTGAAAATGACGACGTTGTACGAAAAGAAACCACCACCAGACGTGCTTTAAAGGACAAATCAAACAAAAAAAATGATGGCACGAATAAAAAAAACGAAATCGTTGTTAGAACTGCACTTGTATCTGAGAAAAATCGAGATAAAGATGTGTTACGTGTCGGTTTCAAGATTCACGAGGATAATAGTGAGATAGAACCTGGAGAGGTAAAGAATAAAAATGAAGTTCTAGTGATCCTGGCCGACTAAGGCGTGCTTAATCGGTTATCCTGGTTGTATTAATTTTAATAAGGAAATTATCGAAAAATTTGGGTTTTGGTTTTTAGCAAAATTGATTTGACCAGATAAGTCGATAATCTGCTTTAGCTGATTTTTTTTACTATCGGCCAGGATCACTATTGAGTTCATATGTGCTAGGTGCTGCAAAAGAGGGTAAATTGAAAAAAAATTTTTTTTCTTTTTTTTTTGTTTTTTTTAAGTTGCAAGAACAAGATTATTTAAATGACACATATATTTCGGAAGACTGGCGTGATATGAAGCCAATCATGACATCAACTCCTGTAAAAACTGCGGAAGATTCGCAATATCACACCAACAATGTATCTTCAGCAACACTCGAAGAAATCGGTAACATCTTACCATCGGATGATGATGATTTATCACCAGATCCGCTTACGCTTCCAATGCGGCCAGAAGACCAGAGACTGCCACCGCCACCAAAAGGAGGATACCAGATTATAAAAAGGATCCTAGATAAACCGTTGACACCAACTTCAGAGGTTGATGAATTGTCTGGTGCATACAATATGTAACGTATATACGTTATATACAGTAGAATTTTAGATTCAACACCTCACAAACCTACAATTGCATAAAATTCTGTTATAGAAACTATTATTATTATTTTTTTTCCTTTCATTACAGCTCTCATCTAAATATTAGCTCTTAAATGAATTGTTTCCAAAATCTACGATCTATTTGCATAGTTGTGAACTTTAAGGAAATGATTGACGTTCAAATTAAGCGAAAAAATGGGTATAAAAGGAAATTATAGTTTCACGGATTTGGTTGCGTTTTATAAAAACTCTAGTATCCTCATTCTTGATCTTGTGTCTCTCGCGTGTTGTATCGTGCTGTGCTTTCTTGATCTAATCAGCCGCTTCGTTTCACTTCTCTCTGAACGGATGTTGTATTTATACAAAACCAAAAGAGAAAAAAATTTAACCATATAAAATGGAATATCGAGTACTTTTTTCGCGCTACATATTGTTATTCCAAATAAAAATCGTGCTACTGTGCGTTTTGAATTTTTAGAAAACGACGTATCGTACGATAGTTTTAGAAATCTTCATCGTTACATATAATCGTTTTACAAATATTTCTTTGAAAAAATATATTTATTAATTAACTTATAAAAAGTTAATATAATGGTCAAAATAAATTTTATACCTGCGTTCATTAACAAACTAGAACGTGAATTATATTTAGCAAAAGCATACGTGAAAAACAATGTCTTGTCTAGATTTCATATAATATATAATATTATATGCTACTTAACATGTTAACCATTCGACCACAATATTTCGTGTTATATGAATGCACATATAATAATGTATCTGAATATTATAACCCGTGCTCTAATTAAATAGTAATAATATTTCATATGTTAAATAAATTACTTCTCTTTTGTATACCTATTGAAATATAAATTAACTGATAGAAAATGTTAAATTCTAAATTCTAAAAATAAGGACGTTTATTGCTTATCTAAATTGCCATTATCATCGTCTTTATTGATATTCGATTTAACTATTATAAGCTCACCAAAATCATGTTATCCATATTTGTATCACTCTGTTCGTTAAAACTTACAGGGAACGAAAATTATGTGTTCAGAAGCATCTTATATCAAATAAAAGCAATTAAGAAATCTTAGAGAAATACTGGATCTTCCGAAACGTTAATCGATGATTTTAATAAAAACTCAGCTTAATGTTATTACATGATTATTTCAATTGATTAATTAACAAAAAAATTCTCCATGACCATTAATCACATCAACTGCATCTATCCTCGTTTGATATATATACAAGTATTATATTAGAATAAATAAGCCATATCTTCATATATATCTTCTAAACTATGTAGTAATGTTAATTCAAAAAAAAATTGATTGGGTCACAACCCTAACAAAGTTGCTCGAATAATCTTTTACAAGAATCAAA